CTGTCTTCATCAAAGGGGGCACATATTGCTGAAGGTCTTACAACAAACAAACAAACAACAAAACCCCAAAGGCTGACTAGGAGTTAAGGTAGAAGAGAGAAAAGACTGCAAAGAAAATGGTCACCCTTCAGAGTGATCTAGACTGGCTTAACCATTGCTAGAGTAATTGTTTTCAACTCAACATCTGGTTAAAAAGAGCTGATCAATTTAATCCTTAAAATTATACTTTTCTTTTTCCCCTTTGGGCTTTGCTATTGATCAAATACGTAAGATTTGGAGAACTTCTACTGAGAACAAAATCTTTTGTTAAAAAAAAAAAGCCTTAACAGACTTAACCACAAAATTTATACATCTTCATTCATCAAATATTTATTGAGCTGTACTCCGTGCCAGGCTTTGCTGCTGTACTGGGAACACAGCCACAAATAACATTTCTGGTGCTTACATTCTAAGTGAGGAAAGACTGGTGTATTAGTTTCTTATGGCTGCTGCAACAAATTACCATAATTGGGCAGCTTAAAATCACAGTTCCAGAGGTCAGACATCCAAAATCAAGGTGTCTCTTGGGCAGCACTCCTTCTGGAGGTCCTAGAAGAGAATCTAAGTGTTTTCTCTTCCAGCTTTTAGTAGCTGTGGACTTTCCTTGACTCATGGACACACCACTCCAACCTTCCTAGGTAGGCAGGACTTCCTTCTCTTTTGCCTGTGTTGTCTCCCTCTGCCTCTTCCTTTTAAATGGAAGAAAAAAGATGTTTCTGAAGGTGCAAAAGAAAATCCAACACAGCCAAASGAACTTGAAGATGGTTGTTATGGCTTAGAAAGGAGGTGTTCCCCAAAAGACAATGCAAGAAAGTTCAGAGATGAAATGATACCATTAGGCTCTGTGGACATTTCCTAGTGTTCCTATAAGGAAAAAGAAAACAAAGCCACGAATATTACCAAAGTCATCAGCAAGCTAAGGGGAAAAAGTTAGCGATATTCCTATGCCAGGAAAGATTCATGATTTACGACTATGATGGCACTTAGAGTGCAAACAATATCACTGCAATATCCTTGAGGATCTTTGTTGCCATCTAGTACTCATTTTTTGCCATTTTGATAATAGTCACAGGTTCCTTGCTTTAGGACATGAACATATATTTTGGAGGCCACCATTTAACCATGATAATAAAAAATAACGTTCATAAATAAGCTCAGAACATTACAAGAGCAATAAAGAAAGCAAATCAGAGAGAAAAGATAAGAAAATGACCGGGAATGCRATCTTCATTAAGGGGGTGAGTGGGAACCTTCACAATGAGGCAGCCCTACAGCAGAGACCTACTTGAAGTAGATGAGAGGAAAAATTTTCAGGCAGAGAAATGCATAAATGTAAAGGCCCTATGATTAGCTGCTGTGTTTGAAGAGGTAAGGGTGGAGAAGAGGCCAGTGTTTTAGAATAAAAGTGCAGTAGGGTACGAGTCAATAAGGTTGAATTTGAGTTTAATTCTTAGTAAAAAGGGAAGTCCTCAGTCATCAGTGGGCTTATATCAGAGGARTAATTAACTTGATTTCTGTTAGTGTGGTGGTTGAGAGGGTAGATGAGAGGRCCAAGGCAAGGAGATGGCGGGACCATTTAGGGAGATACTACAATATTCCAGGTAGGAGATAATAGTGCCTACGACTAGGGTAAGGGCCATCGAAGTAGGTAGAAGGGAGTGGGCATGAGACCTACTCTGAAGATTGAGCTATATGATTCACTGTTTGAGTGAATAGAGTCAAGAGAGTAATGGAGGAGTTAGGAATGAATCTAATGGAGTTTTGCCCATGTGACTAGAAAGATAACAGTCATAGTCAGCTGAGATTTGGAAGATGAGAAGCAGATTTTGAGGATCAAGGATTCCATTTTGAAATTTAAAAAAATGCCTTTTAGACATCCAAGTGTAGATATTCTATAGTCGATTAGATACGGGAGCCTAAAAACATGCACCAGAATCTCTGCTCTTGAAATCATCAAGGAGTTAAGTATTATTAGAGAAGAGTACCAGAACTGATCCCCGAAGCACTCCAAAGCCAAGAAATCGGGAGCCATGGAAGAACCAAAGACGGGTGGAGTGTGCCAGCAAAGAAATAAACCATGACGCCTGCTGATCTAGAAACCAAACTAAGAAAGTGATCCAAGAAGAGAGCAAACGACCGTGTCGAAAGGCGCTTATGGATAGAGAAAGGTGAGGACTGAGACTTGCCATTGAATTTGTCAGTGAGGCAGTCCTAAAAGAATTGTGGGCGCAAGATCCATTGGGAGTGAGTTCAAAAGGAAACAGGAATATAGGAATTGTAGACAACCAATTTGGGCAATTACTGCAATGAGTTTTGCTGTTAGTAGTAATTTTTTTTTTCAGGACTGGACAAACTATAACATATGCTGACTAAATGGTCCTATGGAGAGATGAAATTTGTTAATTTGGGCAAGGAAATGAGCACAAGAGGGAAGTCAGTGAGTGAGACTGGACCAGATCCAGGGCCCAGTGCCTTTGGGTAGGAGCAGGGCAGATCCTTCTTAAAACAGACAAGTGCAAATGTAGGTATATGGGTGCAAATGTAGGGTTGGAAGATCTGCTAGTGAGATGAGTAGCATAATCTGACAGCTTTCATTTTCCTTCTTCATTCTCAACTGATGCCTCTCCCTGAAGCAAAGGCATCAGTTGAGTATGAGGAGGTAAAGAAAAATAAAGTTAGAAGCTGTGAAACCACCTGAGAGAGTTAACTGTCAAAAACAGCAGCGAATTGTCTAGTGAGTTTTCTAGAACAGCCCTGTCATAAAAAGATGAAACAAGCCACCTCCAGAATTTTAAATTTTCTAAAAGTCTCATTGAAGGTAAAAAGAAACAGTTACAATTAATTTTAATAACATAATTTATTTAATCCGACATATATAAAACATGATCACTCTAACACACAATCAGCGTTTTTAAAATATTGAGATAGTTTCGCTTCTTTGCCTTCTTTGAGTACAGTTTTCAAAAGCCAGTGTGCCTTTTATACACCTCAATTCAGAAAAAGCCACATTTGAAGTGCTTTAATAGCCACATGCGGCATACTGAATATCACAGATCTAGGAAATGAAATAGGGCTACTGGAAAACCCCAGGGCCCTTGGAAAAAGAGGAAAATGAGTAGTGGCATATATTAAAAAAAAAATCATTATACAAACTGGACCACAGGACATGATACACAGACGTTAAAAGTGAGGTGAGGAGATGCAGAATTCAGGGGAGGGACAAAGGAAGCTTCTAGAACAGTCAAAGAAGTTTTAGAACTGTAGATGTTGTGCCACATCCTAAGAGGGCTAGAAGAATTCCTGCCCTAGCAAACAGATCTTGATGGCAGATATAACAATAGCCATGCAGTTAAGATGGCATGTGCTTTGACACAAGGGCAAAAGCACAAAATGTGATCTATGCAAGTTAAAAGGAGGACGAGTTCATCTCCAACTGGAATGAGCCAGGAGGGGGTCACACAGGAGTGACAGGTAAATCAAGTCTTGAAGGATGAGTAGGATTTTAAACATCAGTAGGAAACATGGTACAAAGGGAAGAAAAAGCACAAACACTGATAGAAAAGCAACAATGTTCAATATATCTYGGGTGAGATTAAAAAAAAATCCTTACTATATTCATTGAGAAACCTATTAATTGATTGCGGTAGAAGGTCAATACATAATGACGGAACTTTAAAGAAGACCAGTGGGATCATTTTCCTGGGGAAAAAGACGTCGTCATAAAATAAAGAACATAATGTTTCCTAGAAGTGGGAAAAAAAAAAAGGTGCCAGAGATTTTTCCCAAGAAATAAATGTCTTCCTTCCTATCCCCAAAACTACCCCTGCAACACACACACATTAAAAAAAAAAAAAAAAACAAAAACAACTTTCATCTTCCCTTGACAATTCAGTCTTATATATAGTCTCTTCTGTGGATATGGTCAGTTACATTGAAAGAGAAGCAATATATTTACCTTTCATTCTCAGATTTTGGAAGAAAACGTGGAAACAACTAAGATTGCAATATGCGGGATTTAAAAAGTCTTTGATGACTACTAATGCTTTTTTTTTTTTTAAGATAGGAGAAGTACTCTTCCCACACAGATCCAGTTTCTAATACTTATAGAAGGCAAGCTATATGTATACATTGTATAATTTTTTTTCTCCTAAATCCAGTGCTGTTTCTATTAAACTTTTAGGGAAGAAGCAGCATTTCACTTTATTTTGGTTCTCAATACAATCACCATGAAACAACAGGAAATTTAGTTTTTCCTAGGTATGTGCAGATCATTATAAAAAAAAAAAAGAAGAAGAACAGAAAAAATAATTCATCTAAATGTTCAGGGAAACCTGGCAGTATATCCATCTCTCTCTCTTTTTTTTTTTTTCACAAGAATTTCCTACAGCAATCAGAATATCTAGAAACTGTCAGAAAAGTTAGATGTTTCCTCATGAGACTTTAATAATACTGTACTTTGTATTTACATATCACATAGCCTTCGTACTTCATAGCTCATTATCATTTTAAATTTACAAATCAGGATATGAAAGCACAAGGTTTAGAAACAACTCTTCCTGCCCAGTGGTTAAGTTATTAATGCCAGGATTGGAACTCATAATTGCTGACACATGTGCTCTTGCAACTAAAGATCACTCTCATAACATAAAATGAAGTGCCTAGAACATGTAAATTATCCGAAGTGCCATTTATTCAACATAATTTTTGGAACCTAGGAGCTTTAATCTTATTTAAAAAAAACATGTTAAACCTTATCGCATACAGTAATATGAATATAGATCAAGATATAATTGATCCAAACTAGTACTTAATATGAATTAATAAATGTACATATACACATATAAGCTACTCAGCTCCATAAAGGGAAATATATTTMAATCAAAAAGCCAGMTAATAGGAGGTCWACATACATAAAAATGTGAACTACAGCTTTCAAAAGTTTTCACTAACATGCTATAGACATCCATTGTCTGCTGATGGAATTAAGAAAATAAGGTATCCAGTTCTCTTTAGCAGCACTCGCTGTGACTTTAATCTTGATGTCTTTAACATTCATGTGTCTGGGAGATTCTTTAAGATCTGTCTCAAAGAAGCACAGGCCACCACGTGGGTATCTGAAGGCAGATTAGCAAGTGACTGAATCAGCTTCTTGACTATTGTCTTCAAACACTGGTGGGCAGCGTTCAAGTCTCTGTCAAACTGCTGTCCTTCGATTTGTAGAGCCAAATGGCTGCAGATGTTCCTAAACTCAACACTGTCCTGAAATGAACAGCAAACAGACAGGAAATTAGACAGGTGATGGGAACATGTGCTGTGYTTCACTTACCCAGCTTCCAGATTTTTCTCAGAGAACTACCTTCCTCCGTTCTTAGCCTATGTGGTTTGACCAAAGCTGAYCCCACACATCACTCTAGGGGCCAGGTCCTTCAGAGCATATTACCCCTGGCCATGTGGACTGATCAGGATGGAGAGGTGACCAAAGCCTTTGGCTACCATCCCACATCTACTAGATTGGGAAAGGGAAACCTTCTAAGTGAGCTGTTGGAAACATCTTGCCACCATATGGAAAGAGTCCAAATCCAAATCAGGATGAAGCCAATCCAGAAGAAAACAGAACTCTAATCACCTTTCCTGAGCATGGTAATCTAAATATACTTGAATAAGAAACCCCAAGATTTTAAAGGATAAACCCTTTTGATTTAAAAACCTTTTTTTCTTTAACTTAAATTTACTTAAATCTTTTTTTTTCAAAGTTAGCCAATTAGAATTGTTTCCRTTTCTAAAAAAGCTGTGACAGATACACAAATAGCCTCTGTTCCCATTATTTGACTCACTGGATTGATGATTCCAATACAGAATTTGTTATTTAATAGACATGGACCCTTAGAAACTCCCAGTGCAATTTTAGAAAGAGTGGTTCACAGGTCGTTTTTTTTTTTTTTTTTTTTTTTTTTAACAGGAAGTAATTCAATAGATTTTTTACAATGGTTCACTTTCTAAAATCCTCTGCAAATAAAGGTCCACTGGAAGTATTCCACATTAGAGAAAATGTTATCTATAAGATCTCTCTTAAGAATATATGCCACATTTTTTTATCCATTCATCTATTGAAGAACATCAAATCATGGCATTTGCAGGTAAATGGATGGAGTTGAGAAGATAATGCTAAGTGAAGTTAGCCGATCTCAAAAAACCAAATGCCGAATATTTTCTTTGATATAAGGAGGCTGATTCATAGTGGGAGAGGGATGGGGAGTGTGAGAGGAATAGATGAACTCTAGACAGGACAGAGGGGTTGGAGGGGAAGGRAGGGGACCTGGGGTAATTAATGATGGTGGAATGTGATGATCATTACTATCCAAAGYACATGTATGAAGTCATGAATTGCTGTGAATATAGTGGGTATACAACAAGAGATATGAAAAATTGTGCTCTATATGTGTAATAAGAATTGTAATGCACTCTGCTGTCATATTAAAAAAAAAAAAAAAAAGATCTCTTTTAAGCAGGGTGCGGTGGTGCACGCTTATAATCCCAGCAGCTCAGGAAGCTGAGGCAGGAGAACCATGAATTCAAAGCCAGCCTCAGCAATTTAGCAAGGCCCTAAGAAACTTAACAAGACCCTGACTCAAAAAAATATAAAGAAAGAAAGAAAAGGCTAGAGATGTGGTTCTGTGGAGCACTCCTTGGTTTTAATTCCCAGTTTAAAAAAAAATTCTCTTTTAAACACAGAGAAATGACTTCCTCCAGACTTCCACAGACTTCCACTTCTGGTACCAAGGCATATTTAGCTTCCCAAAGCCCCCTGCTTATAAATTCCTAAAATTCTAAATAAAGTAGAACAAAMATCCTTCAACACGTGAGCTTGGAGAGATATTCCAAATCCAAACTATAACGATTCTCAGGCATACATGGGATATTTATGAAATCTGACTATATCATCATGCCACAAAGCATATCTCAACAAATATCAGACAGTCTATATGATACAAACCACAATGTGGGGGTAAATGAAAAATCAATAACATAGCTAACTTTCTCAAAAGGAAAGCCTTAAAAACACCACTTCTGAATACTTCATCTGTTTGTGAAAAAAAATTGAAACTTAAAAATAATTTATACTGAACAGTTAAGGGAATATTGCATCAAAATTCAGGGAATGTAGAGAAATGTGTAGACTTAAATGCTTATGTAAGTAAAAAAAAAAAAAAGAATCACTGTCATCTGCAAGCTAAGAATTAAACTCAATAGTTTAGGAAAAGAAAATAGGTAATCCAAAAGAAAATGGAAGGAAGACTGAAGTCTGATGAGGGACCAGAGTGTTCTTCCTGATCTTGTTTATAGGAAAAGCTATTTTAGCCCCTAAGAAAAACCCTGTTACCTGGATGAGAAGGACCTGAGATTCTGGCAAAGTGCTTTTTGGACAACATTCCCCAAGAAATAATGTCTGCTTATTTCAATGAAGCAAACAAAAGCAGCATCCTGGGCTAGAGGAATAAACATGCTATAGACCCATACTCAAGTTTTCCCAGGCTAATTTAAAGCATTCTTGCTTCCCTACCTTTATGTGTTGCTCAGATATTTGTCCATATCTTATAGAGAAACCTGTGTTGCTGAAGCATATTGCTTGAAATTGGGGAAATCAGGGGGRAAAAAATCACTCTGGACAATTTCCCCAAAATCCACATCAAGGGAAACTGTCTTCTTGCTTTATAGAACTAATCCAACTCTAAGTACAAAGTGGAAAGATCAAAGAAAACACGCAAAGGGAAATTCAAAATAGAAGGAACCGCTGAAATGTGTGCTGACGTGTGCCCATTAGCCAGTCTGCAAAGGCACCCATCACCCAACAAAGATTAAAATGCCTTTAAAAATATCGTTGTGGACCAAAAATCTGAAGTCAATTTCACGTTTACTGTAAAGAATCAAAGGAGGCATCGTTTGGGGAAATTACATGCATAATAAAATTCGACTTCTGGGCTGTACTGGTCCCTCAGGCCCTGGGCAAACTTCAGATCTCTGGCGAGCTTTGCAAAGTCTCTTTATTTTACTATTCTAGTACAGTATTTCCTTTTAATCCTTTCTCAAATATATTAACAGTCAAAGAAAACAAATTAATAGGAATAGACTTTCCATGGGACTCTTAAGCCAGGGGAGGAAAAAATAAAACAGGTGATTGCTTCTCTTCCTTTCTAGAAGGTCTGAAAGCCAACTATGAATCCAATAATCATTACCTCCAACCAACCTCTGCTGCTTCTGCTGCAGAAGGTGGAAGTCACAAATCACAGTGTTAAGCAAACAGCCTATTAAATGATTCATGGGCTTTCAATAGAAACTCACATGATCGATATTGGCTATGATTTTACTTACAGCGCTTTCTGTTCAGTGACAGAACATATCCTCCCTGTAGCTTTTATTTTATTCAGTAGATCCCAGATGCTCCCAGAAATGATGTCATATCCTACACAGCACTTTGAGAACTTTGCCAGAATTAGAACTATAAGGCTGAGCAATCTAAAGTTGGTTTTGGAATTTCTAAAGCCTCGTGTAATTTTAGACTTTGGATATGAAGTGTATTGATTGCTACAGTGGTCCAAGTTGATGGCTAACATTTACCTTCTAAAGTGAGTTGAGATTCTTTCCCATGATTCAAAGGATCTACTRGGATAATGGCCTCAAGGCCCGTTTAACTCAGGGAATTTGTTAAATTTATTTCACGTGTATTTCAAGCCTCTACTGCATGACCAACTATACTGAATAAAAGGCAATAGGATATGGAACCTGCTGTCCCAAGAGCTTATTACCCAGTAAGGGGAATGAGACACTCAGATYGCTTATCTAAATATCCAGTGAAATAAGATGAGGGCCATGGGAAAATCACAAAACAATCCAATCCTATGAAAGATATCTAAGCACAACACCAGGTTCCTAAAAAGCTCATTTTGGTGTGTGAATCCTTCTAATAATGTGCCCAATGTGCTATTGTCCAAAATGCATTTGGATACAGATTGCTTAGGAGACAATCCCATTAAAGGAGATAGCTCGACTTGTTGAAAATCTCTCTCTCTCTCTCTCTCTCTCTCTCTCTCTCTCTCTCTCTCTCTCTCTCTCTCTCTCTCTCTCTCTCTCTCTCTCTCTCTCTCTCTCTCTCTCTCTCTCTCTTCTGTCGTGCAGTGCTTCATATTGTAGCTCTTGTTTTAAAAATATTTCTTTCTAAATGTTAGCTGAAATCTGATCTGTGGCAGACAGAATAATGGCCACCCAAAGATTACCACATCCTAATTCCTAGAATATGAATATGTTACCCTAAATGGCAGAAGGGTTTTTACAGATTTGAGTTAGGAGGGGCAGCTCTCAGAGCAGCCACAAAGACACCAGGGGTGCAGACAGACAGAGCCCATTCTTACATGAGTCATGCACCTGTCACTAGTGCCCTGGTCCTGTCTCCTTAGACAAGCCGTTTTATCTGTGGGAAACTCAGTTTTCTCTTCTGTAGATGGAACTGATAACAGCTGTCACACGGTGAGGCTGCGAAGGTCAAATTGGCTTGGGAGCACAAAAACTCTATTTGCTTCCTCAGTCTCCGATTATGAATAGAGATGTTGGGAGGTCAGTAAGGGAGAGGGGGAGAGAAGGGAAGAGAGTAGGGAAAGGGAGAAAAGGAAARGTTAAAAAAGAGAAGGAAAAAAGAACACTGTAGAAGTGTAGAATATAATTGGTGAAATGAAATCTATTGAACCTGTTTAGCAGTGATGTCACACAAAGTTCAAAGAGAATGGTTGAAGTTTCCAGCTTGCTACCATTGGCTCTTGCAGAAGGGAACGGAGGCTTGGACCAGACATCAGAAAAGTAGCTAGGGAAGACGTTACAATACATGTTGYGCCTGCTGGACACGGTACCATACGGCTGTAATCTCAGYGACTCAGGAGGCTGAGGCAGAAGGATCTGGAGTTCAAAGCCAGGCTCAGCAATAGCAAGGTACTAAGCAACTCAGTGAGACCCTGTCTCTAAATAAAATTATATATATATATGGCTGGGGTTGTGGCTTAGTGGTTGAGTGCCATGAGTTCAGTCCCCAATACACACACAAAAAAAAAAAAAAAAGAAAGAAAGAAAAGATATACTGTGCTGACTCACAGGGGAAAGGGATGCCCCAGTAGTAAGAACAAATAACACAAGCAAGTCCRAAGGTAAGAAGGGGCTGGGACACAGAGGGAGGGGCCAGTCAGAAAAGAACAGGACAAAGGAGTGTGCAGAAA